ACACACACACACAAAACTTACACTAACACAGTTGTCAGGAAGCGGAATAGTCTGGGATGTGATGTAGTGGAGGCTGGATCCGTACATAGCCTTGAGAAGAGGTATGATAAAGCTCATGGAGCACGAAGAGTAACAGTATCGACCAGTGAAGAGGCGGAGCCAGGAGCTGTGACTCGACCCCTGCAACCACAACTAGGAGAGTACACACACACACACACGAAAAATAAAACTAGCCTATTTTTAATTCCACTTCCCCAACGTTCGTATATAAACCAAAACAACAAATTAGAAGGACAGAATTTTTTTTTTTAGCTTAAAATAAAAACGTCATGAGAAAACGAATGAATAGTTTCAACCTTTTCCCATTTTTCTTCCCCTTTTTTTCAAGTCACGCTCCACATTTGTTGTAGCAACGTTTCGCTCGTTTTTCAAGCACATTCTTTCTGAAACAGCATAAGTTTTCATTACAATATCTCTTTCAAGGGAAACGTCTACAGGATTCACCTAAACTATTACTTCTACTACTACTATTATTACTACTACTACCGTTATTACTATTACTACTATTACTATTACTACTACTAATATTACTGCTACTACTATTAGTACTACTACACTACTACTACTTCTCATACTACTACTACTACTACTAATGCTAGTACTACTACTAATATTATTACTACTACTACTATTACTACCATTACTACTACTGCTATTATTACTACTACTATTACTGCTACTACTGCTATTACTCCTACTAATACTATTACTACTGCTATTGTTACTACTGCTATTATTGCTGCTACTACTACTACTACTACTACTACTACAGTGTGTCCCCCTCTCTTAGATTGAGGAAACAGAGACTTCAAATTGATTTTTTTTTTTTCACACTGGAGCTTCAACAACTAATTTTTAAATCCCAACTATTGTTGAGGATCTTAGTCTGGTTGACGGAGGATCACTGTGGGTAATAGAGCCCACCGGTGATTAATAAGACCCACTGTGAGTGACACAGCCCACAGTGGAGGTTTATCACCTCCACTGTGAGTGCTGAACCTCCACTATGGGGTGATAAGGCCCCACTGAGGGAGGGAAGTCTATATGAGGGATTATATATTCCACTGACCTTATGGCACTGTCTAGACTGAGGTGACGATCTGGGCCATGTGGCTGTGCCTAAGTCATACATTTTAATCTGTATAACTTGATAAACTTTAAGAAGCCTGTTTAATGCAGATTCATGAAGCTTGACAAGGCTTCCCCTCTCCTTGAGCTAAACGTAGTTACGGCTACTCCAGTACACGTACATGTTCATTCGGTTGTAAACAGAGCTCTCTTTCAGGCTTACTCCATCTGCAACACGTAAAAACGTCTTCTATACCTTCCTCAGATATTGCAAAATAATCCTTGTAAGCGAACATTCAAAGTTAATGCAAGTCAAGGCGTACCGTTCGGTCTAACATAAACTTCTCTAACTGCCTTTATGATCCAGTCTTACACTCTCATCCTCAATAACAGACGTACTGTTAAATCTAACATTCTGCTACTCTCTGTCTAGCATTGTACTGTCTAATCCAACTCTCTGTCCCGCCTTCATAACAGGTGTACCATCTCCTCCTCTGAACTGTACCGTGAGTAACCAGACGTGGGAGAGCGTGGAGGTGACGTGCGGCGATCCTGGTGGTGCTCTGGCTCACCACCACCAACAGCAGCACCACCAGCAGCAGCACCACCAGCAGCAACACCACCGGACAGGTCACGGTTACGACTACACCAGGTCGGGTTACGACGAGCCTCCGGTACCCAGCAACCCGGCGGAACTACTGCAGGATAAGGACAAGCCACGTTACCTCCTGACGGTGCAGGAGAGGCTTACTCGGGCCGTGGTACACAACGTTACAGGTGAGATGGGCCTGATGATGGACAACTCAGATTGCCCGAAAGCCCTTTCAGGAATTTATTATTATAATTATTACGTATGTGAGTGGATGCAAAAGCGAGCCTTCACTAAGTTGACTGACCCATGAGGATTTGAAGCTTCTCATACATTGTTAGTCAAATGTGATTTTTTTTCAATTACGGTACTCTGAATCAGTTGTGATTTTTTCAGTCACGGTATTGTGGGTTAATTGTTATCTTTTCAACCACGATATGTGTTATACCATATATGTGTTACACAACGTAGAGTTCAATAAGTTATGTTGCTCACTGTGGTGTAACTTAGTAAGTTTTTAGTAGGTTGTGAGATACCTCAGTGAACTTAGACACGTACACTAGGGAAATTATTTCTACCACACGTCTATCTCTGTAATAGAAATATCTTTCAACTTCCATAAAAATTACGTTACTATATAAAGAGCATCTCTCACAATAAAAAATGCATTTTATACAGCAAGTATCTCTTTATATAATGAGTATCTAAGTGTAATAAGTATCTCTAAAAGCATTTCTATATAAAAGGTATCTATTAAAAAAAAGAATCTCTTTTAAAAAAATGCATCTATATCACTGGCGAGAAATATATATATTTATCTATATCCCAGGTATTATCTCGCAAGTTGCTGTGTGTCTCACAAGTCTCTTATCTGTTTTACAAGTCTCTGTCTCGCGTCTAACTAGCATTTATCTATCTCCCAAGTGTCTGTCTCTCAACTCTGTACAAGTCACGCAAGTCTATCTCACCTCTTAATCTCACTAGGTATCTCTCTCCCAAGTCTCTCCCAAGCCTTTCCATCTCAGGAGAATCTCTCTACCAAACAGGTGAGCGTGGTATGTTCTCCGTGAGCGGCCTCACCCCTGGGCTAGACTACGTCATCTCCGTGGTGAGATACAACAGCCACGGTCGATCCTCTAACGTCACGCTGGAGGCCTTCACGCTAAGGACTGCTGAAAACAGAATGAGTGAGTCACACTCTGTTGGCATATGGGAGGAGTGACTGCTTGCGTAGTTGCGTAGGGAAGGAGATAACTAGTGATGCAAGGGAGGAGGGGATCATGCAGCGGTGTTTCAGGTGATTATATTATCGCGCTAAAAGGAAAGTTTGTGTGGTTGTGTCGGGGTTGTGTAATGGCGTTCAGAGTTGTATATGAGTGTTCACGTTGAGCAGCAGAGTGTAATATATATATATATATATATATATATATATAAATATATATATATATATATATATCTATATAAAACTATATATATATATAATATGACTATATATATATATAAAACAAATGAGACAACCCTCTGAAAGGAATAAGAAATTCCAAGCGCTTTCGTGACTACTCACATAGTTCTGAATAAGTGATAGTCAAGAAGCGTTGAATTTCTATTCTTTCAGAGGATTGTTTGTGTTTGTGAATCACCTGTTTACTGGATCTTATTGCATATATATTTATATAGATATTATATATATATATATATATATATATATATATATATATATATATATATATATATATATATATATATATATATATATATATAATATATATATTATATATATATATAATATATTATAATATATATATATATATATATATATATATATAATGCATGTATATATATAATGTCTGCGAATAGTAAAACTGTCATTAGCAAGAACTCATTTAAAATAAGTCCTTTCTAAAATTTTTTAATATTTTTAAAGATATATTTATTTAAATTAAGTTTAATGTCAAAAAATTTAGTTTTGCTCCAAACGAATCTTAGAAAAATTAACCTAACTTATTATAACAAGAAATAATTTTATTTTTAGCTAAAAACTAAACAATAAGTAATATATTTTCATATATTCAATACTAAATCAAAATAGTTGAAATATATTCTTTCCGTTAGGCAAATGATTATTTAGGCGAAATTGCATACATAATTTTCACTTGTCCTATATGCAAGATGAGCGTTGCTATATAAGCCAAGATCGCAAGTTTCTGCTATTCGCACGATATATATATATATATAATATTATATATATATATATATATATATATATATATATATATATATATATATATATATCCTACTTGTTTAACTTGTTAAATTAATTTATATTTTAATTATTGCATTGCTCTTCCCTCCCTCAGGAGAGGAGGATGAGGGAAGTGAGTCTGCGCTGCTCGGTGTGGTGCTGGGGGTGATGGGCGTGGTGCTCCTGCTGGCTGCGGGTGCCATAGCCATCACTCTGCGCTCCAGATCCCGCCCACGGTGCTCCACGCCCACGGAGACCACCCGCCTCCCGCCCGGAGAAGCCAGTGACTCGACGGGGCTGGATCATCCTGATCTCCTGGAGGGGGAGACTCACGCCGTCACTGCCGCAGGTTACCGCAAGGCGGAGGTGACGCAGGCGGTGAGTGCGGGTGAAGGGGGAGGGGGGTTAGAGAGGGGGAAGAAGTGGGCTGGCTTGTGGTGGTGGTGTTCCACTAGTAGGTGTTTCCAAAAGGGAAGGACACGTACACGGACGTGTCCTGAGCTAAGCCTGAGCACACGGACATACACACATTCGCACACAGGATAATGCAGTTAATAAACATGCATACACACATTCGTACACAGGATAATGCAATTAATAGACATGCATACACACATTCGTACACGGGATAATGTAGTTAGACACAATCGGAAGGTCGTGGGAGTCGAATCTGCGTCACGAGGAGAATGGGCAAATCTGTGGTCCACTAGTAAGTTTAATCCAATGGGAATAACACGCACACACACGACATATACCAGCTAACTACACACGACACAAAACACACGCACACAGAAAACTAAAAACATGCATACACACATTTTTTACACAGAATATGCAATTACTTTAAATTTTGATTAAAATTGTCACGGATAATTAATTTACTGCAAATGTCAAGTCTGACCAAACCTGTTCGAGTGGTATAGGGCAATCTTCCTAACGTACCGAGCTACTCCCTTACAACAAGCCTTCCCATGGTTATATAATAATTAAATACGAATAATCAATCATACAAACACAATTAGTACAATTTCTACACAAATACCATACAACACACAATAATACAACACAGACAATAAATATTTTTTTTAAGAATTACAATTACAATATATAATGGAAAAAGCACTTATATATATATTAATTATATTTAAATTCATTCTTTAATACTATCAAATGTGTTATGATTAGTATAAGTATATATATCCAAATAAATAAACTTACCATACCTCGCTTGATCACCTCCATTATACCAATTATGTAATGATTATTAAGAGTTTGATCAACTGAAAAATTTTGTAAATGATTATCTCACAATATTCCTTATTTGTAAAAAATTTTTCATAGGACACTAGAAACAAATTTGAATGAAAAAATAATTGTCACAATACGGGGCCAATATAGAATAAGATTATATATATATATATATATATATATATATATATATATATATATATATATATATATATATATATATATATATTATTTTATTATTTTATTATCACACTGGCCGATTCCCACCAAGGCAGGGTGGCCCGAAAAAGAAAAACTTTCACCATCAGTCACTCCATCACTGAACAAAAGGCACAAGTTGCAGAACAACAAAAGTTTGTCCTTATATCTTTGTCTCTTCTTCATTATTATTGTCTACATTAAACCTTTTCTAGTTGTCTACTTTGCTCTAATGCTCTTGTTTCCTTGTCCCACAGCTCCTGTCTCCGTCAGTACGACCCGTGGACGAGGAGATGAGTCTCAAACCCACCTCTGTCTCGCCCACTACCTCCCACCTGGACTATCTACCTTGTGAGGGCTCCGACAACCTCTCCCCAAACGTGAGGAGCCATCCACGCCTCTACGTCAGGGCGGAGGGTCTCGCGAGCCAGCAAGAGAGCTTCCTCTGAACAAGCTCGTCTTAGATGTAAACAGGCCAAGAGAGAGAAGCAACTTGCTGGAATACTTCGTTTGGAGGCTTCGCTCGTGGACTTCGCCGAAGAGACCTCGCTGGAGACTTCTCTCGATCTCAATATTGCCATGTAGTCTAGTAATTTTTTTAACCTAGAGTGAGTGTATTAATTTGCTTAGTGAAGACGACTGCCCCGCGTCTTTCTTCTAACGGAGCTGAAATATTTTCTCCACAATACCAGGTGAAGAAGGACTGTCTTACTCTAGTGCGATTGATGACAGTGAACTACGGCTTGAGCCCAGGTCATCGTAAGTCCCCTTTATCTTAAGTCTGGATCATCTTAAGTCCGGGGCATGTTAACCCCGGGTCATCTGGTCAACACTGCCTTACTGTGACATGTGTCGCAGTGGTCAGCAAGTTATATTCATTGGTGTTTTGGAAAAAAAGAAAGAAACATTTTGGAGGGGAGATAATTTATTTTTGTCAGAACTCTAGGCTTTAAGAATCTCCATCGTCAGGCCATTTCCCTTACCTAGGGAGACGGAAAGGATTCTATTTTTTTTTTTTTACTCAAAGAGTCCAATGGACTTTTTATTCTGTCCGGTGGTCTTTTTCTCCTTCTGTATTTTAGCCAATACGCAGTCATAAAGAATGCAGTTTGAGTCCTTTCACAGACCATTAAAGTGTAAAATAAGCAAAGACCTTTTATCAGCATAATTGCAAGACCAAAGTACCCGTGATTCCATTACTCTTCTACATTACTGTAGAATTACAAATGAGTTTCCTCGAACATTTTTTTCTAAGAGAACTGCGAGTATAAAGGCAAGTTAGTGTGTTGACTTGTGTCATCTTAACAGTGTTGAGTTGTGGCAACGTAACAGTGTGATTCGAGGCAACTTAAAGTGAGGACAAAAAGCAACAAACAGAGGAGCAGAACACTAACATATTAGTACTCATCAGAAATTTATCCTGTAGTAATGATAATAATGATCATGATGAAAATAGTTTTGCTGTTTTAAAACATAATAATGATTCCCAGGTCAGTGATATGATGTAAAACAGGTATCCACTGCACGACTCAATGAGCAACTTTGCGTAGCTCACTGAGACACTCTTAACAACTCAATGAAAAGCTGTTGAAGACCTGGAACCTCTCTTCTAACAACTGCAAAGGGCTCTGCGATGGTAAAATACCTAAAACAATGAAAGGTATATTGAAATACGAGGAAAATAACTTGTTAGACTTCCATTTATTTTTTAACTTCCAGATTGTAAATTAATGTTCTTTGTTGAAGACTTTACTTGATTGATAAATAAGTAAGAGTTAACTCGAAATATGACCTAGAAAACGTTTATATCAGACGTATGTGAGGATCTGCTCTGTCAAAGTTTTTTGAGAGGGCGAAAACTTTATACATAGTGTAAAAAAAAGCCTATTATTCATGTACATCGTTAATGGAGCAGCAGATGTCTTTTTTTCTCTCTCTTGCTTTTGTTGTGGCTATTTCCATGTGCAACCATATTTCATATTTTTACAATGGACGAGAAGTGATTGAAATTTGTAGGTCAACCCCTCATTTGTCCCCGTGTGTGTGTGTGTGTGTGTGTGTGTGTGCGTGTGTGTGTGTGTGTGTGTGTGTGTGTGTGTGTGTGTGTGTGTGTGTGTGTGTGTGTGTGTATGTATGTGTGTGTTTGTGTGTGTGTGTGTGTTTGTGTGTGTTTGTGTGTGTGTTTGTGTTTTGTGTGTGTGTGTGCGCGTGCATTTGAATTATAAATAAAATATTATATATACATATATATATATATATATATATATATATATATATATATATATAATATATATATATATATATATATATATATTTTATTTTTATTATCACACTGGCCGATTCCCACCAAGGCAGGGTGGCCCGAAAAAGAAAAACTTTCACCATCATTCACTCCATCACTGTCTTGCCAGAAGGGTGCTTTACACTACAGTTTTTTAAACTGCAACATAACACCCCTCCTTCAGAGTGCAGGCACTGTACTTCCCATCTCCAGGACTCAAGTCCGGCCTGCCGGTTTCCCTGAATCCCTTCATAAATGTTACTTTGCTCACACTCCAACAGCACGTCCAGTATTAAAAACCATTTGTCTCCATTCACTCCTATCAAACACGCTCACGCATGCCTGCTGGAAGTCCAAGCCCCTCGCACACAAAACCTCCTTTACCCCCTCCCTCCAACCCTTCCTAGGCCGACCCCTACCCCGCCTTCCTTCCACTACAGACTGATACACTCTTGAAGTCATTCTGTTTCGCTCCATTCTCTCTACATGTCCGAACCACCTCAACAACCCTTCCTCAGCCCTCTGGACAACAGTTTTGGTAATCCCGCACCTCCTCCTAACTTCCAAACTACGATTCTCTGCATTATATTCACACCACACATTGCCCTCAGACATGACATCTCCACTGCCTCCAGCCTTCTCCTTGCTGCAACATTCATCACCCACGCTTCACACCCATATAAGAGCGTTGGTAAAACTATACTCTCATACATTCCCCTCTTTGCCTCCAAGGACAAAGTTCTTTGTCTCCACAGACTCCTAAGTGCACCACTCACTCTTTTTCCCTCATCAATTCTATGATTCACCTCATCTTTCATAGACCAATCCGCTGACACGTCCACTCCCAAATATCTGAATACGTTCACCTCCTCCATACTCTCTCCCTTCAATCTGATATTCAATCTTTCATCACCTAATCTTTTTGTTATCCTCATAACCTTACTCTTTCCTGTATTCACCTTTAATTTTCTTCTTTTTGCACACCCTACCAAATTCATCCACCAATCTCTGCAGCTTCTCTTCAGAATCTCCCAAGAGCACATTTGTCACCCAGCAAAGAGCAGCTGTGACAACTCCCACTTTGTGTGTGATTCTTTATCTTTTAACTCCACGCCTCTACCAAGACCCTCGCATTTACTTCTCTTACAACCCCATCTATAATATATTAAACAACCACGGGAATCACACATCCTTGTCTAAGGCCTACTTTTACTGGAAAAAATTTCCCTCTTTCCTACATACTCTAACTTGAGTCCTCACTATCCTCGTAAAAACTCTTCACTGCTTTCAGTAACCTACCTCCTACACTCATACACTTGCAACATCTGCCACATTGCCCCCCTATCCACCCTGTCATACCCTTTTCCAAATCCATAAATGCCACAAAGACCTCTTAGCTTATCTAAAATACTGTTCACTTATATGTTTCACTGTAAACACCTGGTCCACACACCCCCTACCTTTCCTAAAGCCTCCTTGTTCATCTGCTATCCTATTCCCGTCTTACTCTTAATTCTTTCAATTATAACTCTACCATACACTTTACCAGGTACACTCAACAGACTTATACCCCCTATAATTTTTGCACTCTTTTTATCCCCTTTGCTTTATACAAAGGAACTATGCATGCTCTCTGCCAATCCCTAGGTACCTTACCCTCTTCCATACATTTATTAAATAATTGCACCAACCACTCCAAAACTATATCCCCACCTGCTTTTAACATTTCTATGTTACTTTCCCATCAATCCCGGCTGCCTTACCCCCTTTCATTTACCTACTGCCTCACGAACTTCCCCACACTCACAACTGGCTCTTCCTCACTCCTACAAGATTTTATTCCTCCTTGCCCTATACACAAATAAAGCTTCCCTATCTTCATCAACATTTAACAATTCCTCAAAATATTCCCTCCATCTTCCATACCTCTAACTCTCCATTTAATAACTCTCCTCTCCTATTTTTAACTGACAAATCCATTTGTTCTCTAGGCTTTCTTAAACTGTTAATCTCACTCCAAAACTTTTTCTTATTTTCAACAAAATTTGTTGATAACATCTCACCCACTCTCATCATTTGCTCTCTTTTTAACATTGCTTCACCACTCTCTTACCTCTCTCTTTTTCTCCATATACTCTTCCCTCCTTGCATCACTTCTACTTTGTAAAAACTTCTCATATGCTAACTTTTTCATCCCTTACTACTCTCTTTTACATCATCATTCCACCAATCGCTCCTCTTCCCTCCTGCACCCATTTCCGTAACCACAAACTTCTGCTGAACACTCTAACAACTACATTTTTAAACCTACCCCATACCTCTTCGACCCCATTGCCTATCTCTCATTAAGCCCATCTATCCTCCAATAGCTGTTTATATCTTACCCTAACTGCCTCCTCTTTTAGTTTATTAAACCTTCACCTCTCTCTCCCTGATGCTTACTATTCTCCTTGTATCCCATCTACCTTTACTCTAGTGAGCTACAACTAGAAAGTGATTCTGATATATCTGTGGCCCCTCTATAAACATGTACATCCTGAAGTCTACTCAACAGTCTTTTATCTACCAATACATAATCCAACAAACTACTGTCATTTCGCCTACATATATCGTGTATACTTATTTATCCTCTTTTTCTTAAAATATGTATTACCTATAACTAAACCCCCTTTCTATACAAAGTTCAATCAAAGGGCTCCATTATCATTTACACCTGGCACCCCAATATATATATATATATATATATATATCTATATATATATATAATATATATATATATATATATATAATATATTATATATATATATATATATATTATATATAATGTCAATACAATTTTCGTAAAAGAAAAAACACGTACACACATAAAACTGCATTTAATCACTTTGCCCTACACGAAACAAAACACTCACAAACAAACAAAAAAATAAATTCACACTCTACCAGGTATTCAGATACAGAAAACACTATGATAAAGAGAAAATAGATAAACATTATGAGAGAGAGAAATCAGAGAGACATAAAGATAAGAGAAAGATTATTCTTCAATTCCATTCCATCATTTACAGGAAAAAAAATCATTTGCACCGTGTAAGGGTTATACATCGCCTTTGGGATGAGGGGCAGTGGGATTTAATCTGAGGATGGGAAGGAGTTGTTCTAATTGCTTGGATTAAGAGCTTCTTCACCGGCCTCAAGGCACCTCCACTGAAGAGGCAAAGGATCGATCAAGTATGAGCTCCACAAGGCTCACACTTAAGCGTGACTTTGAGTGTAACCTTGAGCGTTATCTTGAACAGGACTATGAGCATTATCCTAAGTATAACATTGAACCTGAAACTGTATTATATGGATTGGCCTTACTCTCTCTAGTTTCTCTTCTTCTTCTTCTTCTTCTTCTTCTTCTTATTATTATTATTATTATTATTATTATTATTATTATTATTATTATTATTATTATTATTATTATTATGATTGTCTTATTAGTATTAGTATTTTTATTATTATCAGTAGTAGTAGTAGTAGCCGTAGTAGCAATAGTAGCAGTAGTAGTAGTAACAGTAGTAGTAGTAGTAGCAGTAGTAGTAGCAGCAGTAGTAGTAGTAGTAGTAGTAGTAGTAGTTGTAGTAGTAGTAGTAGTAGTAGTAGTTGTAGTAGTAGTAGTAGTAGTAGTAGTATTCGACAGAAATTAACCTTAGGGTATTTGTGAATGACTTTACTGGAGTCTGTTTGAATTTCGGTTTTTCGTAATGGCCAGCGGTGTTCGAATTACTTACGGGATATCCTTATTAGAACGAGGAAAGAGACGAGATAAATGAAGGGATAGAGATGAGAGAGAAATGATAGGACTGGTGGGAAAATAATGTGGGACGAGATAAATGAATAAGGATACGAAAGGTGAAAAAAGGAGAGAGATAAATGAAGATAGATGTAATGAGATAGAGATGAATTACGGAAGAGATGGGTAATTTAAAATAAATGATAAAAAAATGTATAAAGTAGTGACAGGAAATGATCTAAGTGCACGAAATATGAAGAAACTAGTCGAAAGTCAGAGAACGAGAAGGCAACGAAGATATCACAAATGAACGATATCGCAAAGTAACCACGTTAGGTTAGGTTATGAAACTTGTGAAAACTGTTGAAAGAGACGACTTTCCTTTTCAATTATGCCATTAAAGCTTTCAAGAGGAAATCCTGAAGATATCTAGAAAAAAAATAGAAAATAGTGAAGAACGAGCGTACGGCAACGGCATAGAAACGACTGAAGCTAAAACTTTGGGTAGCTTCAAGTGCAGACTGGATAAATACATGAGTGAGAGGGATCGGATGTGAATGGCACTTACACAACATGAGTTAATAGGGTTATGAAAGCTTATTCTTTGGGTAGCAGTGGAAATGAGTTGTCGGAAACATTTTTGTAAGTGCGTTTGGGTTTTAGAAAGATCTGCCTAGTATGGGTCAGTAGGCCTGCTGCAGTGTTCCTCCTGTCTTATGTTAAGAACATAAGAAAGGAGGAACACTACAACAGGCCTGTTGGCCCATACTAGGCAGGTCCTTTACAAATCCTGCCTATTATGGGCCAACAGGCCCATCCTAGGCGAATGAGTAATATCGTAAAAGGAATAAACGTGGGACATCGTAACGAGAACGATCGAGGGAGATTGTAATGGGAACATGAATGAAGGACATCGTACAAGGAACGAACGAGGAATGTCCTCCAGGAAACGAACGAGGGACATTATAACAAAAAACGACAACCATCAGAGAGGAACGTGCGAGGGGATGCCCACGCAAGCAAGTAACGAGAACGT